GGCGTAGCTTGCGCAGGCAACAAGAGTCTGGTTGAACGCGACTAGGTGCTACTATAATTTACACTACGAAATTGAAATGCCTGATACGCAATACGGAAATGACGACACGAAAATACGACAAGAAAAGCATGTGTATTACGAAGGATGGGAAGTCCTTAAATCATCTGGGCCATTTTCGTTTAAACGGCCAAACCGGTCGGACCACTGTTGTTCGTTTATTAAATAAGGTCGGACCTAGCAATAATGATGCTGCTTTCAGGCGAGCCTTGATAAAGCCTTGCAAGGCCTGCATAAACATGTGCAGGTTCGCCAGGATTTATACCCGAAATTGTTACATTTATAAACTGTCAAACCGGTTGTCTTATCCTAGTCAGCATGGATTGTCTCCCTTGACTTGATGACGGCGACTTCGAAGCCTCATGTTACTCTGTGACCTAATGGGATCTTAAATATAAACAGTACGTCCTTCACCATCAGGTCTAGACGTATACAAGTATTGTAGATAACATAGATAGATAATCACGTCATAACTGTCTTAAATTCGGGAAGATATCAGAACGCGGTTTATCATAGACCCAGGTTAAATACTTGGGTGTCATTGTTTACTCATGTTGATCATAAAAAATCGTTGTTTGTTGTGACCTTTTATAAGCATTACATGGTACGTTTCCTTGTATATGTGTACCTGTAGTATATATACCTTTGTTAATCAAATACTCTGACTAGTTTATAAGACGATGTATGTGTAACAGGGATGATTCAGAGTTGCTTCCCCTGTTACTTGTACATGATGTCTATCATGATTGTTTTGTAATTAGTGTGATGGAACAAAATTATATCTAGATTGAGTGTTTTGTAGAATACAACTCATGCTATTATCTAAATGTATAGAATACTGTAATAGAGAATGAAGAATACAATAAATAGATCACTTCTTTTTGTACATAATGCAATATTGAATAGGCATTTAGGAATATAATGATAACGTTTGTAACAGAATTTGACAAAGTTCTAGCTTTGACCCCGAGCAAAGATAGGAATGAGTTGCTTATTACTCGTACCCGTTAGGTTCTGCAATTGACTTTTGTGTAATAGGGAATCTTTTAAGGGGTCTTCTGCTAATAAAGTCGAAGTTGTGACATTTACATTGAGAGTTCTCGTGGTAGCGTTGCCGAGAGGAACCTGGCATGGGGTGACAGTGGGACTTGGAAAGTGGGAGAGTCCAACCCTGTGACATAGGAACCAATCCATCCAACGCTATAACGAAGTGCCACAGTACATCTGGTCTTGTCTATCAACACTGCCGATATCGATTAAAAATGTCCTTTTCATTTATTGCAATATTTCAACATATTTTATCATAATTTATGAGTGAAAACAATCTAAGTAGCAAATATTTTAGTCGAGTAAAGTTCCATATGAGGTATAATAATAAATGAAGATTTTCATGATTAATCCAACTCGTTGCAATAAGAATGATTCCAGAATCACCATGTTGGAGGCCACACCGTACGCCTTATGCAGATCATTGATTAAAACTGTTAATTATAGGCAAACAATATAAATGTACTATCAAAGTTTTACTTTCTACACAAACAATGTACGTATTAAACGTGTCGCAACGTTTCAGTCATTGCTTGACAAAGGGAACAGTCTTGAAACGTTGCAACACGTTTAATACGTGCATTGTTTGTGTAGAAAGTAAAACCTAAATATCACATATTTCAAACTGATGAATCGAACTAAGATAATATTTCTGTACGTATGTTAAGCACTCTTAATGTTAATTCCTCTTAACACCTAAACATGTTGTAAAATGAGAATGTAAGACTTTTATTAAAAGGAAACTGAATATTCAAACAATTTTACTCCCGTTACGTACTTACACCAAAAAGATATGCTTATTACAATATATTGCAACTGGAAAGTACTCAAGTTTATTAAAAACTGGAGTTACCTCCCATTACTCATAACTACCTTTCGTCAGATATATGTTTTATGTATATTTTATTGTATCATGGTATACATGTATTCTGTTCCGCAACCTTCTCTTCCGTGTTATGGTCCTATAACACGGAACAGGATTGCAAACAAGTTGACTAACGCCCTAACGCACCATGGGATTATTTTTTCTGCAATCCTAAACCGTGATAGGACCATAACACGGAACAGAAATTGCCCACGGAATGTTGTCTCGTGACTTTCCCCGTAAAAAAATAGTTCGTAAAAAATATCGATACTATTTCCATAAATTAATCAATCCATAAATTTAATATTTACATTTTATAATAGTTTTTCATAAAACGGTGAATATTATTGAATCAAATGTATTGGGTTATTTTGCTTATCCACTTACTAGTGCGGAGGGGAATAGCGATCTTGCAGTTAGTAGAATACGTGTAGATATCACTACGCCTGTGTTTTGGTCTCATAACACGGAACTGGCTATGGTAGTGTTATATAGTGGCAATGCAGAACAGATGTAAATATACTATAAATACCTTTTTTTTTTAGAAATACACCATTAGGAACCTCACAGTATATGCCCTACCAAGACAAACCCCATTAGGTCCCTCACAGTATATACATGTACCTTACATTAAAATACCCCATTAGGAACCTCACAGTATAAACCTTACCAAGACAAACCCCATAAGGAACCTCACAGTATATACCTTACATTAAAATACCCTATTAGGAACCTCACTGTATATACATTACATTAAAATACCCTATTAGGAACCTCACTGTATAAACCTTACCTTAAAATACCCTATTAGGAACCTCACTGTATAAACCTTACCTTAAAATACCCTATTAGGAACCTCACTGTATAAACCTTACCTTAAAATACCCTATTAGGAACCTCACTGTATAAACCTTACCTTAAAATACCCTATTAGGAACCTCACTGTATAAACCTTACCTTAAAATACCCTATTAGGAACCTCACTGTATAAACCTTACCTTAAAATACCCTATTAGGAACCTCACTGTATAAACCTTACCTTAAAATACCCTATTAGGAACCTCACTGTATAAACCTTACCTTAAAATACCCTATTAGGAACCTCACTGTATAAACCTTACCTTAAAATACCCTATTAGGAACCTCACTGTATATATCTTACTTAGAAATATTCCATAAAGAACCTCAATATATATATCTTATTTAGAAATACCCCATTAGGAACCTCATTGTATATACCTTACCTTAAAATACCATATTAGGAACCTCACTGTATAAACCTTACCTTAAAATACCCTATTAGGAACCTCACTGTATATATCTTACTTAGAAATATTCCATAAAGAACCTCAATATATATATCTTATTTAGAAATACCCCATTAGGAACCTCATTGTATATACCTTACCTTAAAATACCCTATTAGGAACCTCACTGTATAAACCTTACCTTAAAATACCCTATTAGGAACCTCACTGTATATATCTTACTTAGAAATATTCCATAAAGAACCTCAATATATATAACTTATTTAGAAATACCCCATTAGGAACCTCATTGTATATACCTTACCTTAAAATACCATATTAGGAACCTCACTGTATATACCTTACCTTAAAATACCCCATTATGAACCTCACGGTATATACCTTCCCTATAAATACCCCATTAGGAACCCCACTGTGTATTTCTTACCTAGAAATAACCCATTAGGAACCTCACTGTATATACCTTACCTTAAAATACCCCATTAGGAACCTCACAGTATATACCTTACCAAGAATACCCTATTAGGAACCTCACTGTATATACCTTACTAACACATACCCCATTAGGAACCTCACTGTATATACCTTACCTTAGAATACTCTATTAGGAACCTCACAGTATATACCTTACCTAGACATACCCCATTAGGAACCTCACTGTGTATACCTTACATAGAAATACCCCATTAGGAACCTTACAGTATAAACCTTACCTAGAAATACACCATTAGGAACCTCACAGTATATACCTTACCAAGACATACCCAATTAGGAACCTCACTGTATATATCTTACCTAGAAATACCCCATTATGAACCTCACGGTATATACCTTCCCTATAAATACCCCATTAGGAACCCCACTGTGTATACCTTACCTAGAAATAACTCATTAGGAACCTCACAGTATATACCTAACCTAGAAGTACCCCATTTGGAACCTCACTGTATATACCTTCCCTATAAATACCCCATTAGGAACCCCACTGTGTATACCTTACCTAGAAATACCCTAGTAGGAACCTCATTCCCAGCCAGCACGCTGATATCGGGCCGATTTCGGTTAAAGAGCGGAATATCGGCTAAATATGCCGTTATTGGGCCGACGTCGGGCCGTCATCACTATTTATATATATGTTATTCAATGTTATTATTTCTAACAATTATTTCAGTTATTTAAAAGAAAGATTATGCTGCTTTTAATGTTTAATTGCCAAAATAAAATAATAAATACATAAACATGACAAAATTATATCGGCCCAATAGCGGGCCGATTTCACCAAAACCATATAACTCGGTTACTAGTCTTATGAATTTTCAATACATCGGGCTGATATCACTCCGATGTTGTATCAAAAAGAAATAATATATGGACATAACTTTATCCATCTATCTCATGTATTCATAAAACTGAATTCAACTAAAAATACACCATTAGGAACCTCACAGTATATACCTTACCAAAAAATACACCATTAGGAACCTCACAATATATGCCTTACCTAAAAATACCTAGACATACCCCTTTATAGGAACCATACAGTATGTACCTTGCCTAGAAATACCCCATGAGGAACCTCACGGTATATACCTTATCTAGAAATATCCAATTAGGAACATTACTGTATGTACTTTACCTAGAAATTCCCAATTAGGAACCTCACTGTAGAAATACCCCATTAGGGACCTCACTGTGTATACCTTACATAGAAAACCTTACTTAGAATTTACTTTACATAGAAATACTCCATTAGGAACCTCACTGTATAACATTACCTAGAAACTACTTTCGGTTTGGAAGGACGCAAACTTTTAAACGGGATCACAATAATACAAGGTATGTATTAAATTGTGTTATTTTATTTACGACAATCACCAGTCATACATACACACACCCTCTTCATAGTTATTTTTTCCCCATTTGCCCATTCGTTCGTGCTTCAGTCTGCTTACAATTCTTCGACAAACTCGTTAAGCCTGTCTTTCAGTCAAAATCCCTGTCATAACGCTAACAGCGGTATCTCTTGACACATTTCAACGAATCATTACATGATGTTCAACACATGTCGTGTAAAATTAATAAGGCAAGCTCAACCCTTAATTGTATATTATACGCCTACTAACTCCATGCCGATATGATTGGTTTATAGTAATTAGAAGCATAGTCGAACGATACTCCTGATTTTGATGTAACTACATATTACTTGCATTTATTTACTATCGCTTGTTATTGTGAATTCAGCAACGAAGATCGGACGATATACTAATTAACAAAACACTTCTCCTTTACAATTATATTTTTCAATGTCGAACGGTCCATGCACGCTTTGTTAAGTAGAGCAAACTAAATCGATAATCATGTTATTTGATCGCGTTGAGTTGAATGCGGGTCTCCTACAATGTCTTCCTGTTTGTAAAATGTCTGTATGTGAGGTCCCGTAAGGGGTAAGTGTCTTGCTGACTAGTTTATATCACTAATGATGTAGGTATTAACACCAAGTACTTAGGATATAAGGATTGGATAATTATATCAGGGAGTATGATTGGAAAACTCTTTTTAAGTCGCTCTTGGCGAGAGCCGAGCGGCTTATTAATTCTGTCCAGAGAACGAAATGACAGACCCACTTCCGTTCGGGGTGCGTGGGCATACTTCAGTCTTGCATGCTTCCGCTATATAGTTTCGTTATCGCAAATAGAAAGTAGAATCTCTGACACTCACCTGTGGGTTACATAAAGTCTTCTGATACTCCTCTCCAAATAATCATCCTTACTTTAAATAATTGCTGGAAAAAAAGTTTATCTCCGGTGCATTCTACGAGTGTTATGGTGGTGAAATTCGTGCACTAAGTTTGAGCGTTTTAGCAACTCGGTTTGCGGTCTGAGGAGTGTTACGCGTGTGAAACACATATGATTCGAGAAAGCACATGTGAAGACTGTCAAGCATTGACGCTGTCTGTAGAAGGAAGAAGTAAATATATATACTTATAAACCGTATGAGTGATGAAGTATACCCTCTATTTTGATGTTTGAAACGGGAACGTAACATGACATATCGTGCTTAGGTTGACAACGGTAATGGCTCGGAGACGAGACGATATGTGAACTGTGTATGCTTATCAAACATTTCTGTAACACAGCATGCTATTTCTGGTATATTGATTTATGAAAGTGTAACAATTTAAGAACATGACACAACAGCCGCTGCTGTTTGACAAGAATTGGCGCCGTGTCAAAATAATATCCAATTCGGTGTAAGGGAAATAACTCTTACGTTGTTAAAGATACATTGAGAAATATAATTCAAATATATTCGAAGAACATTTGTAAGATTTTGTATATTCAATGACGGTAAATATAGTCGCTACATATATCAATAATTATAATTAATATGAATAAAAAATAAATAAAAATAAAAGGAGTACAATGTCTCTTTTCTCCATGCATGTTTTCCCACTACTGTTAATTATCCTTCATTTCACAAGCACAAAATGCACCTATTCTTTATTATCCATTCACCGATTGCCATTCTGCACGTAAATGCTCATGTAACATCATTGGAGGATGCTAATTAATGAAAATTACAGCAATGCATCACACTTAAAGAGGGTGAAAAAAGAGGAGAGGGAGAAATGTTTTTAAGGCATCATTTAAGAGGCGATTGATTTTGAATATCCCAAAGGCAACATCATCACATGACCTGATTTTCAATTAGCAGAATACAGAACACATATATGAGGTATTATAGTAGATATTGATGCTCAATGTGTTACTGAAGCAATTAAATTTAAAGTGGTGAGCGGCTGTAATGTCATACTGACATAATTCTAGTTGCCAATTGTAATTCAGTTGATTCAGCCAGTGAACAATTTACCAATGTTTACCTTGATTTAGCCAAATACAGATGTTACCATTAGGCCTTAAGATAAGCCATGGATGAGTTCTGTTTTGGGGGAAAATAACGTGATGAAATAAGAAAAATAGCAATAAATTAAAAACTTTCAATGGACATTTTTATTAAAAATAAGAGAAATAAGGTAGATAACACGAGAAAAACATGTAAGAGTATCAGAGTATAATGTAGGTGACACTATTCATTACTATACAGAAGATCCGAATAGCTATTGGGGACCAATCAAGAGACTAATAGGTATAACTTGGACTACAGATCCAAACTATGTGGTCCTCTATTTGTCGATGACAAAAGCAAAACAAGTATTTTGAACGAATGTTTTTGTAGTATACTAATATTGATGATAGTTATTCTGTGCGCCTATTTTAGAACCCTACACAAATAGCTCTATTAGCTTAGAAAAGCCTCGGGGAGGATTGAGTTATTCATCAAATACTTAAACAAAACGCCCAGAGTATCGCTCACATGTTTTTGTTTTTGTAACATGAAACTGACAAATGGGTAACTTCAGACCAAATTTGGTAACTAGAACACAAAACATTTTAACATCTCTTAAAGTTCACTTTTGATCTTATTACCGTACCAAAGAAAATGGTTCAAACAGCTGGTCTACATAACATACCCAAGTATCATGACTCTAACCCAAATGGTTCTTAACATATTTTTGTTTGAAGTTTTGACATATGTGATCCTTATGACCTTGAAAGTAGGTCAATGTAATTTTTATATGGACCATAATATCCCAGGTATCTACTGGCCATATATCATGACATTGGGGCTTATGTAGCTTGAGAAGAAGATTGTTCAAGCTTTTAACCCATGTTGACCTTAGTTCCCCGACTAGCACGTAAAGTGGACCTTTGACCTCATAACTGTAACAGAGAAAACAATTTGCACAGCTGGTCTTTATAACATATCCAAGTATTATGACTCTAGTCCAAATAGTTCTTAGGCTATTGTTGTTTGACGTTTTTAATATATTTGACCCCTGTGACTTTGAAAGTAGGTCAAGGTCAATTAAATGAGAAAACTTGAAAGCACTTCATCTAAGGGACCATTCTATTCCAAGGTACCTACTGGCCAAATGTCATGGCCCTGGGCCTAATGGGACTTGAAAAGAGATTGTTAAAACATTGAACCTATGTTGACCTTTGACTTCCAACTAGCACTTAAACTTTGACCTCAATACTGTAATCAAGGAAAATATTCACACAGCTGGTCTCCATAATATACCGAAGTATTGTGACTCTAGTCCAAATGGTCCTTGGGATGTTGCTGTTTGAAGTTTTTTGATAAATTTAAGGGAAACTGCGACATCAATTTATTTCTAACGTATTTGTAACTAAGATATATATCATTATCATGATCTGTCTAGCATATTATCTTTGACTGTATCTCATTTTGACAGTTATTCCTCTGTCACTCGACCTCCTATGGCTTATTCGGCGAAACAACAGACTCTCCGTGGCTCTCCTCTTGTGGACGGAGTGATTAATTCACTACCTACGCGTGACTGGCAAACTGGTAAATCTTTGACTGAAAGTTTGAATCACATCCTCACTAATGAAGTTGGCAGTGACGTCACGTTCCTTGTCGGCACGAACGGGAAGAAAATTCCCGCACACAAACTGATTCTCACCAGCCGCAGTCCTGTCTTCTTTGCCATGTTTAATGGTCCCATGGCAGAAACTGGAGATGTAAAGCTTCCGGATATCACAGAACAGGCGTTCACTCCATTTCTGACGTAAGTGCATCAACTTCTGTAGGACAACAATCAAAACGCACGCTACTTCAGTAAACTGATTTGCCTTGAAGTGATCTTAACGGTACAATGTCTTTGAATGCGCGTACATTACGTCACCGCTCAGAATCTTATTATGTTAATAATTGCAACGGGTGCTAGAGTTACTATCCCCTAACAGTCATATTAACATACATGTATTCTAATTGCGTAAACTTTATTGTTACAAAAGTGTGTCATTATTTTCTTACAGTTACATGTATACAGACCAAATAGCCCTGACTGTCCAGACGGTTGTTCCAGTATTCAATGTCGCCCGGAAGTACTGTGTAGACGTCCTTGTTACGGTGTGCTACAACTTCCTACAAACAAATCTTTCGCCAGCCAATGCCTGTTTCCTTCTCGAGCAATCTCACGCCTACACTGAGGATCAACTAATGGCAGCGTGTCTAAAAGTTATTGGAGAGTCGCCTGAAAAAATAATAAAATCAGAATCCTTTGTTGACCTGTGTCCGAGCTGCCTGACTTGTATTACTAGATCGGATGAGCTTGGTATGGATGAGAGTCACGTATACAAGGCTGTTATGAATTGGGCGGAAAAGGAATGTATTCGGAAAAAAATTAAGGTAATTATTTATCAAATATATATCCATTTTTCGCCATACCTTTTCGAAATTTCACAAACACACTGTAACATTCCGTACCCGAAAGAACATTTGTACACAACAGCTTTAAACTTGAAGACGCTATGAAAACTATCACGCCGAATAGACCTTACCTTACTCGATAACACTATGCAAACTAGCCAATCGGTCAGAAAAAGTCACCTTAGGGTGATAAGCCAAAAACTCGATGACGTTTTGTAAAATAGCTCGCTGGCTAGAAAACGTAACATATCATAAATATAGGATCTTACATGAGTTTCCATGTCATATGAGATTTATTAAACGAGTCCAACAACTTTTCCTTTTAGCGAGCCTCTGTCATTATGAAAACTAGCCCGCCGACTAGATGACATTACCATACAAAAGCTCAAAACTCGATGACGCAATGAAGACTAGCCCGCCGACTAGATGACATTACCATACATAAGCTTAAAACTTGATGACGTTATGAAAGCTAGCCCGCCGACTAGATGACATTACCATACATCAGCTGAAAACTCGATGACGCTATGAAAACTAGTCCGCCGGCTAGATGATATTACCAAACATAAGCTGAAAACTTTATGACGCTATGAAAACTTGCCCGCCCGCTAGATGACATCACCTTACATCAGCAGAAATATCAATGACATTTTGAAAATAAACCCGCCAGTTAGATGACATTACCTTACATGATGACTCAACTCAATAGGACAACATTTTCATTGATATAGATATTATGTATGATGAACTAGTTGCACCGATTCATTGAGTGTCCATAATATAAAAGAACTGTGTTTACTAGAAAAAATCATCTATGAGGCAAAAGAAAAAAGGTATAACAATGGAATATGATTGTCTTCATTATCTGTATATTGTCCATGATTTGTGTATAATATGTATTGTATACTGATGGGCCAATGCCCTTAAGTTCGAAAAAAACTTGAAAAAAAAAAAAAAAAAAAAAAGAATATATAAGCTGAACAATTGATGACTCTATGAAAGCTAGCCCGCCGGCTAGATGACATTACCTTTCATACGCTGAAAGCTCGATGACGCTATACAAACTAGTCAATTGGCTAGATGACATCACCTTATATATGCTGAAAACTCAATGACTCTATGAAAACTAGCCCGCCGGCTAGATGACATTAACTTTCATACGCTGAAGGCTCGATGACGCTATACAAACTAGCCAACTGGCTAGATGACATCACCTTATATACAATTGCATGCTGAAAACTCAATGACGCTATGAAAACTAGCCCGCCGGCTAGATGATATTATCTTACATAAACTTAAAACCCGATGACGTTATGAAAACTATCCCGTCGGCTAGATGACATACGCTGAAAGCTCGATGTCGCTATGAAAATGAGTACGCAGGCTAAATGACGTTACCTACATTAAGCTGAAAATTCGATGACGCCGTAAAAGGATGACGCCAACTTCGCGGTACTCATAACACAATTTCTGCAACGCCATCTAAATTAGGTTTTACTAACTTTATGACGTCATACATTTGTTACCCCGAACTGACGCCATAACCTACTGAAAACATCACAAATGTGTTGTAGATGTGATGTAATTATAACTACAAATTTATTTGACGTCAAATTAAATAATTGGACGGCAGACATGTTGTCAAAATAGCGATAAGAAGATTTTTTCCCCAATATTTGCATACCATCACGAAAGATTGATATAATAATCTTGAATCGTTCTCGTCTTATGGATATCATAAAAAATCAAAATTGATTTATTGCAGAAAACGGGCGCCAACAAGAGAGTCGTGCTAGGAAATATTCTCTACACCATTCGGTTCCCGATCATGTCTCAAGATTTTTTCCTGGACAAAGTATGTACGGATAAGATACTAACGAGTGATGAGATTGTCGACATCCTCATGTTTATCCGCAAAAAGTCTACAGCTCTTGTCACTAGCTTTAACACAGGGTGTAGGAGAGGAAAGCATGGTCACCATGGTGGCACCTATGGCGCGAATATGAGTCGGGCTTTCAGAGGGAAAACCAGTTTCTATGAATAACACTACGCCTTATGATATGATTCTGGTCACCAATGTCTTTCTGGTATCTGTTCTACTTGTCTACCAACTTGAAATAATAAAACAGAGGTATAGTTGTTTGTATTTAACAAGTATATACCAAATTGGCTTAACGAAGAAAGTGATCAAGCGATTATCGCAGACCTGTTGTATCGTACTCGTTCTTGTATGTTATACTTGTGTCACTGTAGGGTCTTCTTTACTCTATATAATAGAGACTAAACATGTAACTATATTGGTTGTTCATGACGTGTAAGCTTGACCCGACAACAGTATACAAAATCCATTTTTTTTTTATTGTACCTGGATTCCCAAACAATTATCACATTTACAATTAAATTGAATTTGACTTAACTAATAAGAAGATTCTTTCAATAAACATGATTTGTGTACTAAGATACACACTCTTACTTTGTATAGTCTTTCAATGAACATGATTTTTGTACTAAGTTACACACTCTCACATTGTAGAATCTTTCAATGAACATGATTTGTGCACTACCATACAGACTCTTACTTTGTAGTCTTTCAATGAACATGATTTGTGTACTACGATACACACTCTTACTTTGTAGAGTCTTTCAATGAACATGATTTGTGTACTAAGATACACACTCTAACTTTGTAGAGTCTTTCAATGAACATGATTTGTGCACTACGATACACACTCTTACTTTTAAGAGTCTTTCAATGAACATGATTTGTGTACTACGATACACATTCTTACTTTGTAGAGTCTTTCAATGAACATGATTTGTGTACTACGATACACACTGGTACTGTGTGGAGTCTTTCAATGAACATGATTTGTGTACTACGATACACACTCTTACTTTGTAGAGTCTTTCAATGAACATGATTTGTGTACTAAGATACACACTCTTACTTTGTAGAGTCCTTCAATGAACATGATTTGTGTACTAAGTTACACACTCTTACTTTGTAGAGTCTTTCAATGAACATGATTTGTGAACTACGATACACACTCTTACTTTGTAGAGTCTTTCAATGAACATTATTTGTGTACTAAGATACACACTCCTGCTTTGTAGAGTCTTTCAATGAACATGATTTGTGTACTAAGATACACACTCTTACTTTATAGAATCTTTCAATGAAAATGATGTGTGTACTACGATACACACTCGTGCTTTGTAGAGTCTTTCAATAAACAAGATTTGTGTACTAAGATACACACTCCTACTTTGTAGAGTCTTTCAATGACCACGATTTGTGTACTAAAATACCCACTCTTACTTTGTAGAATCTTTCAATGATACACATTCTTACTTTGTAGAGTCTTTCACTGAACATGACTTGTGTACTAAGATAAACACTCCTACTTTGAAGAGTCTTTCAATGAAAATGATGTGTGTACTAGGATACACACTCTTACTGTGTAGAATCTTTCAATGAACATAAGGGGGGTACTACGATACACAGTCGTGCTTTGTAGAGTCTTTCACTGAAAATGATTTGTGTACTAGGATACACACTCGTGCTTTGTCGAGTCTTTCAATGAAAATGATGTGTGTACTACGATAAACACTCGTGCTTTGTCGAGTCTTTCAATGAAAATGATTTGTGTACTAGGATACACACTCGTGCTTTGTCGAGTCTTTCAATGAACATGATTTGTGTGCTTCGATACACACTCGTGCTTTGTAGAGCCTTTCAATGAACATGGTTTGTGTACTAAGATAAACACTCCTACTTTGAAGAGTCTTTCAATGACCACGATTTGTGTACTAAAATACACACTCTTACTGTTAAGAGTCTTTCAATGAACATGACTTGTGTACTAAGATAAACACTCCTACTTTGAAGAGTCTTTCAATGAATATGATTTGTGTACTAAGATAAACACTCCTACTTTGAAGAGTCTTTCAATGACCACGATTTGTGTACTAAAATACCCACTCTTACTTTGTAGAGTCCGTTAACAAACTTACTTTGTAGAGTCTTTCAATGACCACGATTTGTGTACTAAAATACCCACTCTTACTTTGTAGAGTCTTTCACTGAAAATGATTTGTGTACTACGATACAAACTCTTACTTTGTAGAATCTTTCAATGATACACATTCTTACTTTGTAGAGTCTTTCAATAAACATGATTTGTGTAAGTCTTTCAATGAACATGATTTCTGTACTACGATACACAGTCGTGCTTTGTAGAGTCCTTCAATGAACATGATTTCTGTACTACGATACACACTTGTGCTTTGTAGAGTCCTTCAATGAACATGATGTGCGTACTACGATACACAGTCGTGCTTTGTAGAGGCTTTCAATAAACAAGGTTTGTGTACTAAGATACAGACTCCTACTTTGTAGAGTCTTTCAATAAACATGATTTGTGTACTAGGATACACACTCGTGCTTTGTCGAGTCTTTCAATGAACATGATTTGTGTACTAAAATACACACTCTTACTTTGTAGAATCTTTCAATGAACATGACTTGTGTACTAAGATACACACTCTTACTTTATAGAATCTTTCAATGAACATGATGTGTGTACTACGATACACACTCCTACTTTGTAGAGTCTTTCAATGAACATGATTTGTGTACTAAAATACACACTCATACTTTGTAGAATATTTCAATGAATATGATTTGTGTACTACGATAGACACTCGTACTTTGTAGAGTCTTTTAATAAACATGATTTGTGTACTTAGATACACATTCTTACTTTGTAGTCTTTCAATGAACATGATTTGTGCACTACCATACAAACTCTTACTTTGTAGAGTCTTTCAATGAACATGATTTGTGTACTAAGTTGCACACTCTAACTTTGTAGAGTCTTTTAATAAACATGATTTGTTTACTTAGATCCACATTCTTACTTTGTAGTCTTTCAATGAACATAATTTGTGTACTACGATAGACACTCGTACTTTGTAGAGTCTTTTAATAAACATGATTTGTGTACTACGTTACACACTCTTACTTTGTAGAGTCTTTCAATGAACATGATTTGTGTACTAAGTTACACACTCTAACTTTGTAGAGTCTTTCAATGAACATGATTTGTGTACTAAGATACACACTCTTACTTTGTAGAGTCTTTCAATGAACATGATTTGTGTACTACGATACAAACTCTTACTTTGTAGAGTCTAGATTACTGGTTACATTATGGTATATACTATAGATATATAGAAGCTAATTGGTTGCAGAGTCAACCGGGTTTTTGATCTCATATACAGACCGATTGTAAAAAAAAAAAAAAACCATTCTGCCGAGGAAAGACGTTACTGATAGTGGTCGGTAGTTTAAATGTCACTATTTAACCCATTACGTTATATAAAGCATGGACATTTTTTTTACCTTTACCGGATCTTTTTGAATTTTATCAACTCTGTCTGCTTCCTTTTAGGTAATTTGATCAAATAATTATACCCCACTCAACGAAGTTGGCGGAAAATATACAAATTGGTCCGTCCGAGTGTGGGATGCATCTGGGTTAGCTCTACTAATTGCATGTTGCAGATTCTGAAATTGACCTACATTTTACGCTGCAGTGTATTAGTTAAGAACAATGGTCACTCTTATAATCTCCATAAACATCTTACTACAACTGTTACCCCTTCCGTACTTTAATGATTAATGCATCTGAGTTAGCTCTACTGATTGTATGATGCACATGCTTCACTAGACCTACATTTCACGCTTTGGTGCCTTGGTGACCAACAATGAGTAACAGAGAATATCGATGACGGCGTCTTCTTGTTATGCTCGTTATAACAGTTAATAACATTAAACATACAACCTTTATTGTTCCTGGTAGTTTATTTCCGTTAGATATGCTTAGCAATGGCGAGGTAGCGATGGAAACAGCATACTGCCCTGATAATCCCATATCCATATTTTATACTATACCACTTCTCCACACCTTTATCCACAAAATCCCACTATTCAATCCCTTATCCATACCAACTCTATCACAGACCGAAACCAAACGTATTTACATGTCCAATCACTATTCGGTTACCCACAAAACCCCTAAAACTTTATCCTGCTTAATGTTCAGCATTTAAGGGAATACCAACAACTGGTTCAGTATAATGTGACCGGGCAGAATACTGTGTTGGTGTCTTCGGCATGGTATTTCAGTGAGATAGTACTATTAAGTCGGCATCAGATCCGTGCTAACACAAGGAGGCAATCAGCATACCTACACAAATGCACTCATACACAACACACATGGAGGCATATCCCTAAATGTCCTTAGCTGTTGGTAGAGCGTTGAACCCTCTACAACCAACTAACTTTATCCAACAACTCGTATTCACAAAATATCTTTGACGGTTTTTTACCCTGAAACTGTTACCCACATAATCCTTAAATGTCAAACATTCAGCATCACAATCCGATCTGAACGCCTTTGTATCAGGGAAGAGTTCGTAAGTACCTGGTGGACGAAGTGAAGGGGTAGCAGCGGTACTAAGATATTCATGGACGTAACCAATTCATCTTTACCTATTTAATATAATATACATGTGACCAATTTTTCTTCACCAAGTCACTGAAGCGTAAAATGAAGGTCAAATTTAGCATCCTTAATATGCAATAAGTAGAGCCGACCCGGATACATCGGTCATCAACGTTTCGAACGGGTAGCAGCTGTAGTAAGGTGTTTATGGACGAAACCAATTCGCCTTCACCTGTATAATATGCATGCGACTATTTTTTCTTAATAACGTCACTGAAGCGTGAAATGTAGGTCAAATAAAGCACCAGCATGCTACTAAGAAGTAGCAGCTGTAGTAAGGTATTCGTGGACGAGACCGATTCTTCTTAACCTGTTTGATATGCACGCGACCATTAACCTGTTTGATATGCACGCGACAATTAACCTGTTTGATATGCACGCGACCATTAACCTTTTGATATGCACGCGACCATTAACCTTAGCCAAAATAGTGGAGATAAAATAGTATCCGTTTGCCGCTTTTTTCTTGGTTGCGAATTATGACAACTATCTAAAACAGAATTAATTTAACTAAAACGTGCTCAACTTTCATTTCGTGAAATCAATTCAAGGTGCAAATGCTAACACCAGAACCGATATGGCTATCACATGAATTGGATTGACATCCGGCGCAGCGCACATTGCTACAAGAAAAGTTCTGTTCCTTGGCCGACTTGGTAGAATGAACCTATTTGACCCAAACGTTATTTCCGAAACGTCTTTTGCATTGTTTGTATATTTTTGTCTTTATGGTTTTATTCCTGATATTGTGAGGATATACATGCATACTTTGTAAATATAATGTATTTGATTGTGTACTTAAGGATGTTTCAGATGCTGTTTTTCAGAGTATGAATGGGAGGAACTGCTGATGTAATAGCGACTCGGAGTTTACAAAATGTTTGCTAATTTAGAATACAATGCGTCCACATCTTATTTGGAAATGACCGTTGCAGTAACTTAAGCACCTGATTAGGATAAATTATGTAGCACGGTTGTGCGTCGACATCAGATCTACCAATGCCATTGAGCTGTGGCATTGTTTGGCGGTATGTTTGCACGTCGACATTACAACACACGTTGTCTTCCTTTGTAAAAAAAAAATGAGAAACGATGTTTCGTGTCTTATTTGCACTGACTTTTCAATTGAGTTAATTGTTTACTCTTTACTATATTACGATATGATTAACGAACAATGTACTCATTCGAAGGATCCTCCATTACAGGTTAATGTGAATTAAATTTTGCAAACTTTGAATTGCTTTGTGCCATTTTTGTTGATGAAAGGACACAATTATAACAGCGGGAAGATACAGTACATATCATAAAACGCATGTATTTACCCTAGTCACAGCTAAAATTTTGATCAGAGACCAACGATGTTTTGTTTGTTTATGTTAGACAAACGATTCGTTACATTTTTACCGGCGAAATATTGAAAATTATTTTTCGATAAAAGTGATATTTTTTCACCGAGTGAAACATTTCTCTTTTGCTGATTTGACCAATCTTTACACCGATTACAAACTACCATGAGAACAATTACCGATCAGATCGCCTGATATTATACAAATGGCCCACATTTTCAAAGCCTGGTTAGCTTAACGATACACAGTCCTCGTAAAAATCCGTCTGAGATATCAGCCCGTTCTACTGTTAAGGCCAGCAATTCTAACTATTATTGTTTGATGGGAGCGATCTCGTGAAAGATGTAGGATATCCTGGATGTCTTTGCTTATCTATGTTCC